CACGACAGTCGCTTGTTGGCGGGCGCTTACCCCGAAAGCCACGACAGTTCCACTGGAGTAGTGATAGAGAGTGAGAATTATCGCGACCCGTCATATTCAAGCGTGGGCGCAGCAAGGATTGACTGCTGTGGCTTTAGTAAAAGTGAGGTAGGGGTAGGGTATGTGTGTGTGTGATAGAGGTAGAAGACCCCTCATCTGATGAGCTGCTAGTGGTCCGGAGCCTCTGCAGGCGGGTCTGAAATTGTGCGAACTTACTTTCGAGAGTTTGGGTCAGGCGTGTGAATAGTGCATTCATCTGTTGCTCGAAATGATTATATACGCTGGGCTTGGGCTGAGAATTCGTCTTTGAGGCGTGCCTCCAGAGCTAGTAACTTGGCATCGAATTCAGCCTCCAAGTTTCTGATGTGGGCCTAATATTCATCGTGAGTACGAACAGTGCTTTATGAGGGGGCGAGGTATGTGTGGCTGAGCTATTTGATAAGTCCGCGGTGGGCTGGGTCTGGGTGGGTGGGTGTGGGGGCAAATGTGATAAGGAGGGAGAAGAGTTTTGGGTTATGATGGTCGTAAGACCCCTTACCTCCACATGCAAGGCCCGGAGCTCCTGGTCACCGGGGTCCAGGGAAGGCAGTGTGTTGGTCACTGGTATACTGGTCCTCTTGGGCGTCTTCAGCTTGCTGGCCCATGTAGGTCGGTTGTAGCTTTTAGAGTGTTCGTCTCGTAGGTTAGCAGGTTGCTCAGTGCGTTGGGCGCTTGAATCTGGTATTGTGTGGTCTACTCGTTGCTGGGATCGTGCTTCACGCTCTAATGTGTGCCTGCTGACTTTAGGTGGGTGCTGGTGCTTGCATTCTCGGCTTCCCGACAGATGCAGCTTCGCAGATGATACAGACTGGAGTACATTTAGGGTTTGCTTCCTTCTGATGCAAATGGCCACATCTAGGGCTTTTCTTTAATTGTAACTTTCACATCCATGTAACAAAAAACTTCGCAAACACTTTTTGGTCCCATAGCCTAACTGGCTAGTAGAGGAACCAATTGTGTGACATACCTACATACTTGCGCAAGCGGTTACACAGCGACAAAGGACATCAAACTGGATACAATGTTTAAAAATAGAAAACAAACAAACACATGATTAAATTATACAAAGAAACATAGCGCAGAACATAGCTACTTATAGCACAGAATAATAATAGCACTAGAACAACAATAATCATAATATTATTAATAATACTAAATGACTATACAGTCGTATTACTCAGAAAGTTCGCATCAAGTGCATGCTTCATGGCCAAGGAAAAATTTCTAGCCTCTTTCACATCAGTCGGTATCGCATTCCATATGAGAGCGCCGTGAAATTCTATGAGCCTTTGACCGTAAGCATTTCTGGCTACCGGTAAATTAAAGCATGTGATTCGCTGCAGCTCTTGTACAGCGCGCGGGTAACGTAAAGGTGCTTAATAGGAATGGGTCATCACGTTTTATTATTCCATGCACTATATAAGCTACACTAGACACGTGAACAGAGTCCAGTGGAAGTACACGCATCATTTGAAATAGTTGTTTTGCAGTATCCGCCCTGTTTGAGTATGTTATAATCCGGACTGTCCTCTTTTGCAGGCAGCTAATACATTTCAAACGAGTTTTATATGTACTGCTCCATGATGGTATACAGTAACTCAAGTAACTGTGCACGAATGCAAAATATAGGATGCGTAAAATCTATGCGCCAAAACATTCACGGGCTTTTAGTAGCGTGTGACACCCATATGCTAGCTTGGAGCATGTCTTTTCTATATGCGATTTCCAGTTCATGTCCAAGTCAAACATGTCCCCTAAATACTTAAACCTACACTCCAAGGCAAAAGGGTGTTTAAAGGGTGCGTGGTTTCTCCTTTTGGGGACTAATAGGGCTGCCGCAACCATTAATCGTTTTATGAACTAACGGCACTGGGTCTAACAGTTAGTACCCGCAGACCAGCTCAAGGGACTAACAATAATCCTCATACGGTTACACTTTAGCAGGTAACCATTAGTCCCACTAATCACCTCAAATGACTCACATTTACACTTCACCGGGAAGCCGTTACTCCTCACAGTTGCACCTTACCGGATGAACGGTTGGTCTACCCAAATACTCCCATCGGATCAACTTCTTATCCCAGTTCAAATCTTGTTTTTCCATTTATTCTCCGCCAGGCCTAATACTTTTTTCGCCTGTTTTTCTGCGCACTGAGAAACAAATGGCGCGGAAAAGAACACGCGAAAAATTATTTTGCTACCTGTGTGTCACTGCTTTCGCAGTCACTGCAACAACGACAGACAAAAGTGAGACATTCAAATCTTTTACTTTTCTCTATACACATGAAGACTCTCCATTCTTTCAGAGAATTCGTGGTGAAACGTACAATTATGGCCTCGTTGTCACATCTTGTACAGTCTTTGGGAAGCTGCTCGGAAGGAAGCGATAGATGACAGGCATTTCAGATGCTAGCACACAGCCTTCTGCATGTTGTGTGTCCACAGCTGTATAATAAAATAGTACAAAGTAGTTAGTCACACGTGACAGAAGATGAGGACACACGCATATGACAACTACGTGCAAGTTGATATAAAAATATACGTGTAAAATATGACACGCAAATAACTTTCCCTTCACATCTCTTAGAATCCTTCTGAAGCTGGTCCGATGAAAGCGATAGACGACAGGCATTGCAGATGCCAGCGCACACAGCCACAGCCTTCTGCACTGTGTGTGCCCACGAGTGCACAATAAGATTCTAAAAATAGTTAATCATACGTGATAAGATGAATATGCATGGGTATGACAAATACGTGCAAGGTGAGATAAAAACACCCGTGTATAATAGGACATGTAAACATTTTAACGTGAGGTCACACATCGTCAAAGATGCATTTCGATCCCCGTAGCGCAACAGCTGAAGTGCGGTAGCCGCAGTCAAAACTCCGAGGCGCCGCGAACCACTGTGCGTACTTACAAGGTACATTTAATAAAAAACCACCTTGCCGCCAGTGAGGCAGCGAGTTCTGCGAGCACCGGCGTTCAGCAAGCGAACGCGAGGCGAAGCACGGCGTTGCACGCGAAGCGGACCATCTGCCGCCAGCGAACCTCGAAGGGGAGAGCGACGGCACGGTGGTTTCCCAATTTCCCGCCTTGATCTTCAATGAGATTCGCAGTAGTTCAAAATCAATAAAAATACTTTGTTCTCTTCTCGCAGTGCGCGCACTGATGGGAATAGGGCATCCCGCATAGGTCCTGAGTACCTGCAACCCGAAGGTGGATATCTGCTGACATTCAAAGATATTACAACCTATTAGAGGGATCAGTATCGTCGATACCCACCTCCTGCAAAGGGGCTGGGGAAGGCTAATGAACGCATCTTGCTGAGACTTTTCCCCAATACTTAACTGTGTCCGGCAATCATGCAACATTTTGATTCCTCCTGCACTGGCAAGTGCCAATACTGTTGGCAGGTGGCTGACACCTACCACATCGTTTGGGCTTGCCAGCTCAACTCAGCTCTTCCCCCCAACCCTAACCCAACCAGAGAGGAGTGGGAGGCAACCCTGCTGGGTTGCTCGGATCTTCAAGCCCAAAGGGTCCTCGTCCAGAGGGCAAGGTTCGCAAGTGTCACCAATGGGGTCCCTAAATAAAGACTCCGCCCACTATGAAGCTTCTAAAGGGCTGCACCTCTCCTTCTTTTTTAAACAAATGTTTTCACTCACTCACTATAAAGCGCTCGCGTTTTGCTAACGTAGTGTTGCTGAGCCCAGCGTGCGCGCGTATCAACGCTATATTGGATTTTATTGGGCGCTTCATGATGTGCTCGCTGCCGTTGTGCTAGCTCCACATATACCAAGTTTGGTGTTACGTGACGTCCATGGATGACGAAATATATGACTGGTGCAAACATGGTAATCCAGACACGCAGGTAATGTAAAACATGACAACATACCACGCTCATAGCGTGCTCACGGCCGTTGCGTTAGCTCCACTCTTAGTTAAGTTGGTATCACGTGACGTGAATATATGACGAAGGCAGACGACACATCCAAACATGATAATCATGGCACGGAAGTAATATTCGGCATTATTTACCTCCACCTCGTAACGTTGTGCCGATTTTAAAGTAACATAAACCTTTCTTATTGGCGCTTCGCATATCATCGATTCCCACTGTACGTGGAATCTGCATAATTTTTTTACACCGTGTTTTGACCAAGAGCACTGTAGGAGGACAGGTTTCGATATAAAAGACAAGTTTGTAATGCTTTTGGAGTATATGGCTGTGGCGCAATATGGCAGATTTCCCTTATGACATGGTTATGTTGATATGCATGTGCAGTATATGGAATACGAGAATGTCGTACAAATTGCTCATCTAAATCCTCGTTCTGCTAGAGTGTATATTATTGAACATGCAGTCTATATAAGAGAAATGTATCGCGTTCAAGGCGAACTACCTACATGGATGTCTGTGTTAGCTAGGTGAGTTGGTTTCATCGAAGAGACAGGTACACCTTTCTAAATGGCACATTTATTATGGCGTGTTTTTTCCATGTATTTTGTGTGTTGAATATGCATGCTTGTGATATGAAATTGTAAACCATAGGTAATGAGGAAAAAAGTGGCCGTGGTGGAGTAGGCAGCGTACCCAGCATCTGTTGCCGCGCACCCAAACGTCATGTGTTTCAACTCCCTTCGAAACTTAGTTTTTTTTTTTCGCATCATCATTGTGCATATTTTTTCGACAGCATTTCCATGGCATATAAATAAGTCACTGAAGTTTTGGCGGACGCCGATATAAAACATTTTCTTGTTAAAAAAAACGTACGAGACTCTCCGCAATGCTCCATAGATGGCATGGCACATGAACATAACGCACAAAACACCGAACTTCGCTTCAAACGTTCGGTGTGAGAATGTAACATACTCGCTGAATTAATTATCGGATTGATGAATGACTCGCCTTGCACAACAGCAACTCCTGGCGGGCATCGTGCGCCAAGTGTACGAGCGCGGCGGAGTGGCTGCGCGGTGCGACGAGGAGCTGCTGGTGTGGAACGTCAGCATCTTTCAGACGCTCGATAAGTTCCTCGCCTCCGAAAACCGGTGGGTCTACGACGCCCTTGCAAGCAGGGTGTGCTACTGCGCTCAACTTCTTCTCACTCTGCAGGCGCATGCTTCTTAATTACCTTGGCTGGCGAGTGGTGGCGCTGCTAGGTCCGGCCACCACTGTGGAGATGATGAATGCCCGCCACGCATTCTACATGGCCAAGTCTGGTGCCGAGGATCAGCCGCAGCTCCATAGCTTCTGCTTCGAGCAGGCCACCCGGATGCTGCCCGTGGCCGTCGGTCGCATGGCATTGCGCGCCCTGGGTGGCGCCGATTCCGCGCAGGTTTGCTTTTTCTAACCACCTTCTTCGAGGCTTCCTTATGGACGAAGAGTTTAGCAGAACATCGAAAGCGCTTGGCGGGGATTCGCTATACAAGGTGACATAAAAAGAAAACAGTTGAAATTCAACACATTTTTTTTTCTCCGCGCAGTGAAAGATTGCGCGTGTTTTCATGCACGCTCTGAAGAAGAGTGAAGCTTCTTTCCGTTAATTTAAAGTAGTAGCTTGCATTCGTAAACCTGTGTTGCATTGCTTTTTCTTAGAGTGCATTACTTCGTTTCGTCACTAACTATTTGGTGGACATCTCCTTTTAGTCACTGTAATAGTTTTCAAACAGACGGAATACATTTCATTTAAGGCCTACTTCTACGATTATTGAGGGATAGTACGTGTAGTATCGAACCGCGACATCCAACTGCCAAGTCAGTGCCTGGGTCTGCGCTAAACGGGCTAATCCTTGAACGGCGGGGTATTCTCGCCTGATATGGCTTCGGTAGCAAGTTTTTAAAGTACATAAAGACTGATCAAACCATGCCATTGACATGGCGCGTTCTGCAAAACAAGCAGGCAAACGGTAAGGCAAGTCTTTCCGGTCTAAAATTATTGGTACGTACAAGTGATTGCTTAACGCAAGTTGTGTCGAGCCTTCCACCGAAGGATACTGTTAAAGAAATGTTTTAAGTCTATGCATGCATTATTTACTCGTGGAGGATCATTGGAGCTGCACTAAAAATGTGTTCGTCCGTGCTCGTGTGGCGTTTCGCTAGCGGCTCGTATCGCGGATGGTGGAAGAGATCAGGGCCTCGTTGCTGCTCCTGCTCCAAGGAAGCGACGTCAGCTGGCTCAGCGAGCAGTCCAAGGAGGTCGCCATTACAAAGGTACACACTCCATGCATGCCTTCACCCTCTAATCTCTTTCTTCGTCATTCACCAGATCAGACGGCTGAGGCTCATCCAGCAGCCGGCGAACAGCACGGCGCTGGATTGGGAACCCCCCGTGAGTGTGCACCTGTTTGGCGCTTCTCCTGCAGGACTTCCTAGTGTTACATGAGAGGCAATAGCACGTTTTGTATTGTCACTAAGTGCGCTGGACTATGTCAGGCATCCGGCGGCGTCCGCGCACTTGTAGGTCTTATCTCCCCGATCTCATTCCCTCTCCCTTAGCAACACCTGCAGGCGCTCGCATTTATCCTCGCCCCTAGAAACCAGAGCAGGTGGTGTGGACGTAGTAGTGGAGAGTGAGAGGAGAGGAGGGGCGTGCTCTGGTATGTGAGGGCGCTCGAATCGGGTGTGTGGAGAGAGCCTAGGAGAGGGTAGGTGCATTGCTTCGCGACTACTCTCGCGGTTCACTTTCTCTCCTCCGTACACCCCACTCTCCCGTTCGTTAGCTCGTACGTATATATACATGGAGTGGAGCGCGGGCCTCACTCTGGACCGTTCGTTGGCTTGTGAATGTTGAAAAAAATAGTTACACTAAAAATCCTCGTCTCATCACTAATTTACGCCATTTAAAATACTACGCCGTGTACTCTCAGTGCAAGAAATGCATTCGCATTTCCTCATGATTACCTTTGGCGAAGGGGAGAATTTTTGAATGCGATATCAATTAATATATATGAAGAGTCTCGGCTAGATGTTGCCGCCGGCGTCGCTGTCATTTACCGTATACCAGTCGATATATATGAAAATGCAGGAAAAAAATGATCAAAAAAAAAAAAACTACGGCGCGCGGAATGGAATGCCCGACCTTTCGTTCGTGAGCGCACGGCATCATTTGTGCGTTAGCAGAGCGCTACACATTTAGATCTGCTTGCCGTTCTCAGCGTTGCATTCCAAAAGGTTGCTATCGCATTTATTGATTCGCCTTTGTGGTGAAACGGCGATTTTTGTTTTTTCAGTAATACGAAGGGTCCTTCTTTGTAGCACTGTGGAGTTTGACCGATTGAAAAGTTGGTTCATTTTGTTGGCGTCAAAACTAGATAACGCAATGAGGTTTTCTGATATATAATAATTTTAAAAATATAACTGTCATTGCTGTAGTATAATCGTTCGAAAGCCGCAATACGTTTGAAGGACGCTGTAGTGGAGGCCTACGGAAGGCATAGACAAAAATTACATTTCTCCATAGGAGAGGCGCCGAATGGGATTGATGCTTAGAAACGACGCATTGATTGAACTAATCGCAGATGCCGTGGTCACGCTACACTTCACCAAGAACGCTGTGAGACTACAGTTTTAGATATTAAAGGCGTATATTTCAATGCGTGCATCACATGATGAAGCAAAAAAAAAAGGCAGCATATCCACGGAGTGAATGATGGATAGTGGGGCGAAGAATTCGTCCGTCCATTCGTTCTTGCTTCCGTCCGTCCATGCGTCCGTCAGTGTGACCGTCCATGCGTCCGTCAGTGTGACCGTCCATACGTCCGTCAGTGTGACCGTCCATGCTTCCATCAGCCCGTCCGTGCGTGCGTCTGTTCGTGCGTCCGTCCCTGCGTTCGTCCATGCATCCGCGCCTGCGTCCATTCATGCGTCCATCCATGCATCTGTCTGTGTGTCCGTTCTTCCATCTATTCAACACTCCAAGTAGCACCATCTCGCATCTTTTCATCATATATTCCCCATATAGAAGCACCGCCATCCAGCGGACATTCCAAGGACTAAACGAGAGGTGGCACACGCACACTTTCTTACGGCTTTCGCTTCGGGTCCGCTTCCCACCTTTAACCACCTCGAGTTCATGGTATATACTAGTTCACTGTATTCATGGCTCGCTAAACCTTTCGAAAACCAAGGAGGTTACGCCCAGCGAGTATGACGTAGCAAACTTTTTCAGTCAGATAGTGCTCAATGTACATGCCAATGGCTGCTAATGGGAAATGAGAGGCGGAGAATTCGGCTTTTACTTTCTTACGGCTTGCGCTTCGTATCTACTTCCAATTTTTAACCACCTCGAGTTCATTCATGGTATATACAAGTTCATTGTATTCATGGCACTGCGGCTCAACGCTCGCTAAACCTTTCTAAAGGTAAGGAGGTTACACCCAGCGAGTATAACGTAGCAATCCTTTCTTGTCAGATAGTGCTCAATGTACATGCCAATGGCTGCTAATGGTGATCGCAGCCTGCGCGTTAACTAAAAGCTGAATGCTCCTGTCTCTCATTCCCCATTAGCAGCCATTGACGTGTACATTGACCACTATTTTTTTATTGTTCAACAACGCACAGAAGAAGTCTCTCACCGGCACCACCTTGGAGGTCAAAATGTTATACTTGTTACAAACTACGAGGGACGAACGGGTGCCGCTATAAGGAGTTTCGCCCCTAAAATGTGGCCGTAGCGCAGTGCTTAGCGTGCCCGGCATCTGTCGTCGCGGACCCAGAAGTCATGTTTCCGGCTCTCGTTGGTGGAACTTGGCGACTACCGTTGACAGAGCTGGGGCTGACTCCGGCAAAAACATGAAAGCGCTTTATGTCGAGGTCCACGACAGCTTTGCTGACGTATTTCCGTCACGGATATGACGCTGTAAAACACATGCCTACGGATTTCACACATGCCTACGGCTTCAGAGGTTAAATCCGGTAAACCGTGAATCCTCTGTACATATTTGTGAACAGCCGAGCAGCAGGTAACGAAAGAGCGGTTTATTCAGTGACTCAGGTGTATTTGTACTAGGCAGGCATGCGTAGTCACGGCATTCTTGATGACGTTGCGCCAGGTTACACGTTGCTTCCCTTGGGAAAAAACAGAACGGGACGAAACACAAAAATGTCGAAAGAATGCACAATTAAAAAGTGTTGTATTTGCATTACATTCGCTGAAATGTCTTTGTGGGACATTCCGGGAGAGGATAGCGTTGTGGCTCGCTGCGCTGCCGCATGCTTCTACAGAGCGTTTCTTGAGGTGGTTGTTGTTCGGTGGTGTATGGTTGCGGGCTGCATTGATTGGTCGCTATCTCACTTTCGGTTTCTGCAAGGAAACTGGTCCTTCGGTTGGTCTGATTTGTTCTCCCATGCGTCGTAGATGCTGGCCGCTCTCAGCCGCAACAATATACGAGCGTGGTGTACCTGCCGGATTTATGACGACAGTGTCTTGCTTGTTGTATCATAAACAGACACTGTGGATATACCGGGTACATCTGGTAGATTTCGCGGTGTTGTAGTGTGGAAGATGCGTTGTTTGCCCCGGGTTTCTTCGAGTCATTTGCAGACAACATTAGTCGGCACGATTTGGGGCTTGAGGTGGCAGTCTAGTACGTGCAGCTTTGCCCTCGTTTGTAGACATGAGACGTCGGGCAGGCGACAATCAGCGGTAATCTCTTGGCATGTTACTTCATTCGAGCTAGCCACTACATCACTCCAGAGTTCCAGCACTTTTTCTGCGGTTTCTTTGCTTTTTGGACGGCGCTTTCAGCCATGCCATTACCACGTGGGTAATGTCGACTTGAAGTCACATGGTTCATGGGCAGCTATGTGGTAAAATTGCGGAAGCACGCACTATTGACGGGGGGGGGGGGGGGACGTTATCGCTATATATAATTGCTGGGATGCCATGCATGGGGAAGATTTGCATGCACAAGTTTGTCACAGCTTCCACTGTAGTTTGACGCATCTGCTTGATCTCGAAAAAAAAAGAATAGTAATCTACCATAACAAGGTACTCATCGCCTGCGTGGTAAAAGAGGTCGACTCCGGCTACTTGCCCCGGCGAAGTAGGTATATAGTGAGGGAACGTAGGTAACCTGGCATTCCTGCTCTTGTAGCTCTGACAAAGCTGGCCTGCCCTCGAGAGTGCTCTAATACCAGCCCATATGCTAGACGAGTACATCACGGCTTTGGCTCTTGCTTTCATCTTTTCTTCACCTCCGTGTGCCGCATGGAGCAAACGGAGTACCTCTTGTCTTTTTGTTGGCGGAATGACGAGCTTCTTAGGACAAGGCCATCTTTGACGTGAAGTTCGTCGCAGTAGTTCCAGTACGCTCGTGTGGCCTCGGACACCTCATGCTTGTTCTCAGGCCATTCCTTGCTTGAATAGCTGCGCAATTCGCTTATTGTTGCGTCCTTGATTAACTCTTCCCGGATTTTCTGCAGTTGCTAATTAGAAACTGGAAAAGATTAAAAAGAGTGTACTTGAAAATCTAGAGATTCTTTGTTAGCTCCGTATTGTTTAGAAGGCATGAAAGTGCATGTGCTAGAAACAGTTCTTTCTTGGCTTGTTAATCACCTTTAGAGTAAACCTCTGAAGGGAGAGTCTGATACGCTGCAATCGTAACGGGCACTCGCAAAGTGGCTTCCTAAATATTGATTCTAGAGGGCAGTTATCCGATTTTATGATGACCTGTGGCTGCCCTAGAATGTAGTCTTCAAACCTTGCGCACACGTGAACTATGGTTAGCATTTCTTTATCGATTTGGACGTATTTATTTTGCACATCGGTAAGCGATCGGGACGAGTAGGTGATGGGGTGCCTGTGTTGCAAAATAACTACCCCTACCCCTGTCTGGCTTGCATATACACTGTGCCGGAGTAAAACGCTTGACCTCTAGCAACCCCCCCCCCCCCCCCCCTATTTGGAGTAATTTTTGCTTCGGACCTCCGGAGCAAACTTACTCAGGCTGACCAAAGCAATTGCGTGGTACATGCGGAGCATTGCTCACTGACATTTCGCTTCGACTAACTGGGGTAATTGTGTGGCTCCGCCGGAGCATTTTTTAACAGCCTATAGCTCCGGCTCGCCGGAATGATTACGCAGAACCTCTGGAGCAATTTTCACAATATTTTTACTCCGGCTACCCGGAGCCTTCGCAGAGCACCCCCGGAGTATTTTACAAATGTCTTTACTTCGTCCGGATGGAATTTCGGTGAGATGTAGCAGTATTTTCTAAGTGTTTCCTCCTCTGCTTATTTACTGTATGCTGATTGTGTCACGCCTAACGAATTCTATATTTTGAATAAAGCACTTCAGAGTTACTGTGTATTTTTTCCACAAAGTTCTCA